AGTTATTTGTCAATTTTGGGTGATAAGCTTCAGAAATTGAAATGGGCCATGCTATCCGTTTGCTTTTCCTATATTCTGTTGCTCATTATTGCTTTCGCTTCAACCTTAAATTCATTTCTCCCACAAATGATTTGGGAGAAAAATCGCGGTATATTTCGTTGGCTTTGCTTAGGATTTTAGCTTTTTTAGTTAATGTTTTTTTCTATTCATTCCTTTGGGCATTTGACCTGAACATCTAGAGTAGAATATACTGTACACAATGTTAAACTTTCATTAGTCTATATCAGTTTAGTTAAAAACAACCAATACCATAATACTTTATATTATAATATACAGTACCTTAATATGGTTTAGTAGAATTTGAGCAGTTTTTTTTTTTTTTTTTTGAAGTATCATTTTTTGGCGCTATTATCTATAAGCTTTTGAATTCTTCATTCGTTTCAACTCTTACTTCTCGTCGAGAGAAAAAACACTACACTAATCATAAGAAGAAATTTTCTCTTATTCATTTGAATCAATCAATAGAGAAGTTTTTTCCCGCAAATTTCACTGCAATTATAAAAGTTATGATCATAAATCAGAGATCAGGAGAGCGTACTTCAAGACAACCCTAAACCAAATTTATATTTTCATTACAATTCCTCTTTTCAAAAAAACTTTTTTAAGTTTTTAAGAGGGAAGTGATAAATCAATCAGTTCATTAAACGTTCATATTTTCACTTTGATTAATTCAACTGATTTCAACTAGTTTGCTTTTCACAATCAATACTGTAAGGAACTTTTCTATAGTTTTAATTGCATTTATGATTTTAAACGGACTTGGAATAAAATAAAATAGTTTTGCGAGCGTAATATAAAGCAGTTCTTTCTCAAAATCCTTAAGGAGAAATTCTGAAAATTTTAGGATGGATATGCAGTCGATTCCAACGAAGGTTTTATTTATTTTTGGATGTGATTTCCGTAACGATAATTATTGCACTATATTTGGGTATTTACATGGAACATACATTTATAAACGAATTCAGTTCAAACCTGAAAGAATGCCGTCAGCAACTGGATTTATGCCTTTGTTAATTAATGATCGATATTTTTTATTTACATTTGAACTAATCGTTGACTGCAAAAAAATGCTTGTCACTTATAGCTGATGCCATTAAATACCATTATATTTCGTGTTATTTCAATAGTTTCTTTCTTTTAAAGTGTCGAATATTATTGATGAGTTTTTAAAATTTAAATTGCAAATTGTGGACAAAGAAAACAGATAAACAGCATTCTGTATAATATTTTTTTACAACAAATAATTAAATAACCTGGAATTAAGTAAGATAGTAAGCTTGATAAAAAGAGAACAGTTTCTGCAAGTAAATTATGAAAGCATGAATCTTTTGCTTTCGCAGTGTCTAGCCATAGGTCCATTGTTGGGTTCCAAAACACAAGAAGACTGCTGCTCAATTTCGATCTTAAGTCAAAGTCGAAAATTCCATCCCAGAATTCCGTATGATTCAAGGTCAAAAGTCATACAATTTACACCAACAAAATGATGGAATGATAAATCAGAAGGTTTGACTTCCATCACCTATTATGTGTATTGGATATAACAACAATTTAGCAGCACTTAATCTACAGGTCATCATAACTTGGGATACAGATTCTAAACAGAGCATGTCATTTTTATTATTTTAAGCAAACTTTACTTTAAACTTTTGAAATTTTCTTATAAATCTCAGAGGAATAAATTGGCAGAAAGTTATGAAAGATCGATAAATGAATTAAGTTATTACTTAAGATTCGACTTCGGTCTATATAAAAATTGTAGTTGCATCCATCATTCCCAACAATATTTTTTATACCAAATTTCACGAATTAACTGTTCAAGTCCATGAGAAGCAGCAACTAACATCAAAGGTATTACAGCTCTTCTCTACAGTTCCATTCTTTGACCAAGAAATGGTCACGTGCGATATTCAACCGTAATGGCATGAATTAATCAGTTTCATTTGTCAATCTGCCCGCAGTGTCAACTTTAGCAATGAATATTTTCTTCCTTAGAAGGTCCAACAATCATTTGCCTTTTGTTCGAACTTTTCATTGGAAGTTTTTTACTTCATTTCATAAGCGTTTTCTAGGACAAATTTTGAAATGACAAATAATGGTTGCTTATCAAAGGATATATTAGGGATTTAGTTGAGCTTTGCCATTTGATTTTCTAAAAAGATACAGAATTCCTTTTGATTATGCCGGAGCAGAAGTGAAATCTTCCTGGAATCAATCAGTGACGAAGTCTAGAACAATTTATGTTTTAAACTTTCCTCTTTCATTCATTATGCTTGACAAAATAAAACTCAATTTTATTGTGATATGGAAATTAGCAGCGATTAAAGGAAGATCAAAAAGCAAAATCGGATATTTCATTTCGCCTTTTAAAATTCTAATTTTTATATTTGACATAAAATTTATGTTTTCTCATCAATTTTTTCCCGCCCAGGCATTTTTCCAACCCGTTAATCCAACGCACCTTATGGTGTAATCGATTTCAGTCTAATCGATTCGAGAAGAAACTTAAATGCCGATTGTCAACCAATCTCCTTTGTTATTGGGAATACGTTTTTCAGTTAAGGATAAGAATAAGCGAAATTATCATCTGTTACTTGTAGTATAGAGGAGATGAAAAGCTTAGGATAGATGTTATTGAATGGGAAAAAAAACGACAATCACAGGTCACGTAATGTTTTTAATTTCATGCTGCATAGTTGACATAATTCGGTACCGTCAATTCGCATTAACGTCACTAATTTCACTAATTCAAGCTAATTCATTCTTACACCAAAATAATTAACTCTACTGAGAGCCAGAGATGTAAATTCAAATGACGATGAATTTCATCGTCATCTGCTTTGTTTACTGCAACTATAATCACTCCTTCTATTAATGTTGTTAATAGTGATAGCATTAATGATAATCCAGAGTACAAATAGTGCTCGCACTTCGATTATTTCATCAATGAAAATCGATAGACGATAACTCAATTTCTGTTATCATTTGCTTTTATTCATCCGGTCTTATCTCTGCAATTTCAGCTTGCATAATTTTAAATGATATTCGTTGTATTGGTCACTATCATCTTCGAAACAATTGCTTCTATTCCTGCTTCTTTTCAAAAATAATCTAATATCAGTGTTATTCAGAAAAGGTCATAAAAAGGTCATCCTATGTCACTTCCTTTTTCCTTCATCATTTGTCTTAAATTCAAATGTCTTCCCTATCAAAAACAAAAGATCCGTTTCATTGTCATAGACATTTCATTTGTTTTCTTTTCATAAAATGCATGACCTTATAACAGGATATGTTCGACCAAAAGTCCTAATTTTGTATTAAAAGTCAAAAATAACTGAATGGAGGAATCGACGATCAAAGCCATTCCGAAGTGTAGGCTGATTAATTGAAGAGAAAGATACTCTTATCCGATTGAGTCATTGATGATTACTTTCTTTGTGAGGGGCGGTTTGGCAGAGGATCATCAGGCGCATTCGGTTCTTCTCAAAACCTAATGGCGGCATTTCATCATCTTATCAGTTTGTCGATCGTTTGCTATTAAATCTCACGTATATCAGATAGGATTTATCTGAGTAAAACAACTCGAGTTTCCAACCAGTGTGCCTGTCTATTTTACTTGTCTGAAAGTCCTGCAATCTTCCTCTGTTAAAAAATTCAAAGAAGGAAATACGATAAGGTCTCTTATTATTAGTCATCGTTCAGCTATTAGCACAGTAAGATTGCAGGAATGTTACACAGAGTACCATAGTTGGAAAAAAGCTCCTTAAGTGTTATATACCATAAAATTTGCTATAATTTTAAAAGTGGATGTTGGAATAAATCTGTTTATATGGG